GTATGTCCAATATGGGTGATAGGAAGAGAAAAACCGTCACCGACGGTGATGCGGTTGGAGGTGTGGACAGGGTGAGCAGTGTGGAGGTTACCGGGGTATGCCGCCATATGAGCGGTGGCGCCACTGTCCATGTACCAATCGCCGCCGCCGGTGTAGCTGGACGGGGAGGGGGCGGTGTGGAGAGCCGCCAGGAGAGCCGGGTCCCACGGCGCCGGTGGGAGGGACGGCGCAGACGTCAGGGGCAGCGGCGGCGGCCCGCCTGGCGGCGGCTGCTGCCCATAGGGCGCCGCATAGGGCTGCGGCGCGGCGTAATACGCCTGGTGTGACGGAGGCCGAGTGCTGAGAAGACCCGGAGTAGGAGCCCGTGGAACCGGCATGGAATAGGCGTGGACGACGCCGGTCCACGGGTTCTGACCGGCGTACCACGGGGCCGCCGGCTGAGGAGCCGGCTGCTGCTGGCGTGGCGCTCCTCCCTGAGCACCGCCACCACCACCGCCGCCTCCCTGCTTGCGGCCACCCCGGCGGCCGCCGCGACGGCCTCCTCCATTGGCCGCCGGCTAGGGCGGTGGGAAGGGGGCTGGTGGGGCGGGCGGGAAGCCCGGCGGGAAGGCGGGCGCCGCCTGCGGGGACGGCGTCTGGCGGTGCTGTGGCGGGGCCGAACCCCCGCGGGTGCCGGCAACAAGGGCGGTGTGGGTGGCGCACGTCCGGGCCGCCCGCATCCGGCGTTCCTCCAGCTTGAGGTACGCGACCACCTTGCCAAAGGTGGGCTCCGGGATGAGGGTGAGGTTGGAGGCGGCATTCCCGAAGTCCTCGTTGAGGCCGCCGGAGAGGGTGCTGATGAGGAGCTCGTCGCCAATCTTCTCCCCTAAGATCACGGAGCTCATCGGCGAGCTTCTTGAGGCGCATGCAAAAATCATCGATGGACGAGTCAAGTTGCTGGCACCCGTAAAACTCACCATAGAGAAGGACCTTGCGCTGCAGCCGATTGTCGGTGAAGAGGCCGTTGAGCTTGGTCCAGACTGCATGGGCGTCGTCCTCGTCGTCCACCACGGTGTGGAAGATGTCGCTGGAGATGGTGAGGTAGAACCAGCGGATGATGGTGGCGTCGAGGATCATCCACTCCTCGTCGTGGATCATGAGCGCGGAGTCCACGGTGCCGTCCACGTGGCCGTGAAGGAGGTACTCACGGAACACGAGCGAAAAATACCGCTTCCACGCGGAGTAGGAGGCGGTGGTGTGGTCAAGCTTGACCGGGACGCGCTCATGGATGTTGAGATCGCGGACGAGGGTGACGTCGGGGCCGGCGAACGGGTTGGAGACGGTAGAGGAGGAGGAGCTCATGATGGCGGCGGTGGTGGGGTTAGGGCGCGGCGCGGGTTGGGAGTGGTGGAGCAGAAGCGGTGCGGCGGCGGCG